CGACCCCACATACCGAAATTGAAAATAGGTGTGCCAATTATCATTTTGCGGAATATTAATCAGCGAAAACTCTGCAACGGAATACGACTCGCAGTTAAGAAATTGATGAAGAATATAATGTGAGCAAAGATTTTAACGTGGCCTTTCAAAGGTGAAGAATTCCCATGATTCCATTTAATGATGATGATTCAATTCCCAATTCGATTGACATTCCGAATCACAATCAATAATGCTCCAGGTCGAACTTTGGAAAAGTAAGGTTTAGATTTAGATGCGGATTGCTTCTCAGATGTTGCGTGTTCCTGTGTCGGCAAACCAGATATTCTTGATATCTATGCAGAGAATGGAAAAATAACAAATATGGTGTGCACACGAGTACTTATTACATAACCAAACACATATGAAACGTATGCTTTGTTTCGTTAATAATTTATCGTCCATATAACAGAAATATGTCACAGCAAAGCGTGGCAGGGTACAGCTAGTAGGTTTATGTTTTGAAGTTTGTCTACTTTATAAAATTTAAATTTTCAGAGCAACTACAACGCAAAAAGTAAATCCTTTTAATTTTTGTATCATGGTTATGTACATATAAAGATTTATGCCAAATTGTTGTTTGAAACTCAATAAATTTAAAAAAGAAAGCAAAACTGATTTTTTGTTCTTAGCTTTTTTTTTTAGCTCGAAAAAAAATAATTGCCTTTTTTTGGAGACAATCTAGCTTTATTCTTCAAAAAATTCTGGCAACACTGTCTGTACGTCATGCGGACTGCGCCCCGCGTGCGGATAGGCGGGAATGGAGGGTAAAAGCCGTTGGGATTATTCCCAGTGGGAAAATTTAATGTATAGTAATCGAAAAAATAACCAGTAAACCAGCCCTTTTCACATTCGAAAATGCATTTTTTCCCCACGGGGATGTCCTAGGAAAGTGGGGCATTCATTTTTGCATTACCAGTAATGCAGGAATGAATATGATTTAGTATGAATTTTTTCCGACTTTTTGGATACATTAGAATGCTGATTACATATTAAGCAGTAATGGAATGTAGAACTCATAAGAAATATATTGCATTATTTATCACGCATATAATGCATTACTACTTTTCCCTCTGGGTTATTATTATTATAAATCGTCTCAAACTTTTCGTTTTTGTCATCAATTTACCTTGCATAAGCGAAAGTAGGATAGGTAGATATTAATATTGACTTGTCAGTCAAAATTCGCACCCAAACTCGGCATCCTGAATATCCCAAGATAAAAATTATGGAGCGATATTTGTTAAAACAAAAAGGTAAGTAATTTTGGTTTCTAAATCGCAATTGACAAATTAAACTTCTATAAAATCAGTCTCCGACTAACACTCGAACCGAGCAGTTGTGTCCGTAATCTCTTTCTCGCTTAATTATCATTTTCGTATAGTGTTTATTTCACGTGCTTTTCATTTCTTCCATTTTCTTCTCAAGTAAGTTATTTTTCTGTGAATAATTTCTTGTTGGTGTACTGTGAAGTGNTATATGGATCAATCCCAAATACTTTATACCGCAATAACACCGTCAAATACAACACATCCAAAGCTGACTGGAATAAATTCCAAAACATTCTGCTTTCTAGTTACTTCCCTCCCTTTGAAATACATAACTTAAACAAAGTAGCTGCCAATATCCAAAAAAACTTTCGAGCAGCAGCAAATTCTTCCATCCCTCTCACCTCCGTTCGCGCTACGCAAAGAAAAGTTCCATGGTGGACAGCAGAGACCAATGCGTTGCGTAACAATAAAGTGTTAGCCTGGAGAAAATATCAAAAAACGCCCTCCTATGCTAACTTAGTCGCTTACAAAAAATGCAACGCCGCTTTTAACAAAGAAAAGAAACTAGCAAAGAGAAAGTGTTTCGAAGAATTCACAAAGAAACTAAACCCTAACTCTTCAGTTAGTAGCATCTGGAAGGGAATAAAGACCCTTACAGGGATATACACGCCGAAAACCACCCAGGCTGTAACAGTGAACAACGTAGTCTTTACCGATCCGTTTGCTATCTCAACAGAATTTGCTAGACACATATCTAAAGTATCCGAAACAGCAAACTCTTCTTCTCAACATAATAACTTTTCTAATAACATCCCACATATGCAGCCCGCTCACCGCCCAGATAATCTGGCCCTGCAACTTGAAAACGACATTAACTTGAACGAACTAGAAACAGCGCTTAAAACCGTGAAAGGTACAACCCCTGGACTAGACAAAATCAACTATCAAATGTTGCGATTTAGCCCAATGGTTGTCAAGAAACGTATACTTCAGCTTTACAATGGTATTCTCAGCACTAGCATTATTCCCCAAAATTTTAAAACTGCGATTATAGTCCCGATAGCCAAGCCAAACAAAGATCCTGGCTACATTGACAATTACCGACCAATATCTCTGATACCTTGTGGTATCAAGTGGGGTTCAGGAGCGGTACGAGCTGTCTGGATGCCCAGCTTTACCTCGATCACCAAATCGCTAAAAACCTTTCCTCTAGAAACCATGTCTCGGTGTTATCAGTAGATTTTACTAAGGCTTTCGACAAAATTAGTGGTCATGTCGTGTTAAAAAAGTTGCAGGACTGGAAACTTGGGCCTAAGATTTTTAATTTTATAAAATCTTTCCTCTTTAACCGAAAATTTCGATGCAAAGTAAATGGCATCATATCACCTATATTTCCCTTACAAAATGGACTTCCGCAAGGGTCACCGCTTTCGGTAACTTTATTTCTAATAGCGTTTTAAGACGTTAGCCGACTGATTAGTCAACAAAATAACATTAAACATTGCTTATATGCCGACGATTTGTTCTTAATATCTAACAATAAGAACACATCCGGCGTTCAAAATGAGTTCAATAATGCATTAACTGCGATCGATAGTTGGGCGCAACATTCAGGTGCTATCATTTCACTTGAGAAATGCAAGCATCTGCATGTTTGTAGAAAACTTAACTGCAACAAAATAACCATAAGTCACAATAACTGTACTATTCCTANGTTTGTAGAAAACTTAACTGCAACAAAATAACCATAAGTCACAATAAATGTACTATTCCTAACGTGGATTCTTTAAACATACTAGGAGTTACGTTTGATAATAAACATTGTTTTAAGCAACATTGTATTACATTAAGAAGCGAACTAGCTACCAGGCTCAACATTATAAAATATTTAAGTTCTAAGAAAAGTTTAGTACACACCAACACTTTACTCAGTATCACTCAACTAACCATACAAAGCAAAATCGATTACGGATTACAAATATACGGAAAATGTAGCAAGGACTCCCTCAACAAAATCAAACCGCTTCTCAATGCAGCTGTGAGGTGTAGCCTTAGAGCGTTCAGATCAACTCCAACAAAAAATCTACTGGCCGAAGGCGGCTTTTTACCAATCGAGGAGCGATTGCAACTCCTATACGGTCGAATAGCCTACAAGCTGCACTGCAACGCGTCTCACATTTTACACCACGACGTACAGCTTCTGAAACACAGAAAAACCAGAATTTCACGCAAATCTACGCTATGCGAAGTCAAAGAACTCGCAGACTCTATGCATATTGGGGCATCCTTTATGAGTATTCCATCCACAAAACATCCACCCTGGTGTCTTAACACGAATATTTTCATAAGCGATCTAACACGTCTACGAAAAGACACAACCAATAATGCTGCCTACCAGAATTTATTCCACATTATCGCCAACCCACTGAAGGATAGTGGATGGTTGTTCCTGTATACAGATGGCTCCAAGCAAGATGACGGAGTTTCGTTTGCGGTAGTAAATAACGATGGCGACACCATTTCCTGTGGCCTCCTCCCCAACTATGCGAATATATTCGACGCAGAACTGCAGGGCATTCTTTCAGCGTTAACCATAGCTAAGTCTCTGGGCAACAAAACTGTTATATGTACTGACAGCTCATCGGTTTTCAATGCAGCCAAACGTATACACACGCAAGAAGATCCAATATACCGCGTTCAACAGTTACTAATGTGTTTATCGCCCAAGGTTAAACTTATGTGGATTCCCGGCCACGCAGGTATCTCAGGCAATGAACACGCCGCCCGAGCCGCTAAATTGGCTTTGAAATCATGCCTCTATCTGCACATGCCGTTTGGGAAAACATCGTTCAAAAACATTTTCTCAAAAGCGTTAAAATTACATTTCGAGAACAAATGGTCTAACTATCAACACCAATACAAGCAAATAAACCCTAAGGGCCGTGGTATCATTCTACCAACAAATACAACAACCTGGATGAATAAATGTTTTATACGCGTCAGATTAGGTCACTCCCTTCTTACTCACGAACACCTTTTACACAACACACACCAGCCGACTTGTACATTTTGCAACGAATCCGACCTAACCATTCGCCATATCATATCAAGTTGCCCTGCTTTAACCTCCGTACGTGCCCATTTCTTCGCTGATAATGATCCTTTAGATATACTCTCATGCTCTTCAGAAATTAATGTAAAAACTANACTTAAAAAATGTAAATATTGCACATTTATTATAATTATATTTTCACATAATGACTAGCCGATAGCCTGGTAGCTAGTGCTATAAATGTATTAACTTATAATTTTAACTGTAATTTAATTAATAAATAATAATAATAATAACTTCTATAATTAGGTTTATAGAAACATCATCATCATCATCCGAGCATGAATGCATAGATCCGGGTTATTTTTCTCTAATAAACTTGAACAAAACAGAAATTTATAATAAACCACCACCTTAATTGGTATTCTTTATACAAATGAATATTTAAAAATCAACCTTTTATGGTTCTCTGAAGATTTTATTATCTCTTGGAAGGTTTTTAACAAAATATTTCTGGCAACACTGCGTGAAAGCCGAGTGGCTCCGTTTACCACTAGTTTAAAGCTTAGTCACCCATATTTATGAATCGAAAAATTTCTGAGTGAAGAAGTTCTGAATGTAAATATGTATGTTTTACTTACCTTCCCAAATCCAAAAGGCTGTCCAGCAGATTAACAGCCCTCTTATCTGTAGAGCGATCGACGGTGTTATGAAGGTTTGGATCACCGGGATGAATTAGCAACACCAAAGCAATACCCAGCAGAGCATTCAGGAACGAAGTAGTAACAAAATATACCAAAGTACGGAGTGCAATTTTTCCATTCATTCGTGCATTCAAACTGGCTGATCCGGCGATCAAACTTGATATGATCAATGGCAAAATCATTAGCTTCAAAACGCGCATGAACAGTTCGCCCGGATACGAAATCAACATAATGGAATCCTCGTGTAAATTCAAAGGCCTCAATGAAAATCCTGAAATATCAAAATAAAGTACATATCTGTATTTAACATTCTCTTACATACCGACACCTATTTGCGATTTTACCGTAACTAAGCGACAAAAAGGTAAATTTTACAGGGGACTTTTTTTATCACTAATTTAAACGGTGTAAAAATTTATTTGGATTTAAATGGACAACAACATTATTAAACGCTAGTTTTCTAATGGGACTATTTATTTTTTGCATACCTTATTGTCCAAAGGTAAAATTACGCTTATGATATTTTTTCTGAACATGCTAAGAGTTTTCGCTTGCGATAGCAAATATAGGTTGGAGTATTTTTTATGAAGTGTGAAGTAAAGTTTTTTGTGATATAATATTACTTTTCATTTTGTGAATTCGGTGCAAGGTCTAATAAGACAATTTCATGTACTATTTAAAGAAGAAAAAAGTTATAAAGTTATACCTTGGGCTTATTAATGCAATATATACATATTAATACTTATTTCTTGCTTACAATGTTGGTAAAATGAAGGATGTAACTAAGTAAATTAACAACTTATTCAGAACTTTGATTGTAATAATTTAAATTGCAAATTAAATTTTGCTCTTTCCTTTTGCGAATTTTTCTATTATCCTTTCAGTGTCAATTTCAATATCTAAGTGTACGTGTAAAAGTGCTAGACCTATCCATCAATCCATAATTATTGAGTATTATAATACAAGGTTCGATAAACTGACAGTTGTCTCTCTCGCACCGCTCTCTTAGCAGTGGCACCGTGTTGCTTATTTGCAAATTTACTTGGAAAAAGTGTAGCTTTGCTGTGAAATATAAGTATAAGCTTTTGTGCAATATGTTTAATTGTGTATGCATATGAAGCACATTTAACTGATGGAAAAATAAATTGTTTTTAAATTGGATGTTTACATAAATCTCATAGTAGTTTTATTTTGATTTTGAGTCCTTTTGCAGTTTTTATACAGCTAAAATGCACATAAATTAGGTAATTCACGTAGATATATTAATATTTCGTTCAATGTTTCGTTTAAAATGCCAGATTTCCTGCAAATACATTATAATTTACAAAAGGAATTTCACTACTAACTGCCTACTTTTCTACTACCATTTTCGCAATAAATAAATAAATTCTTCCCCTTTCTCTGTCCTTCGTAAATGCAACCTTTTGTAAGGGAGTGTCAAACCGCGGCTGTCAATAATTATCTAACCTTGTATTAGTGAATCATGGACTTATCAGTCTTTCTTCATCCATTGTACGACGCAACCATGTTTTTAACCGGCGAAGGGTTGAAAAACTTCTTTCGGAAGAAGCGTTAAAAGCTGGAAGTGTGACCAGAATGCGGAGAAGTTTGTTAGTCAATGGAAAAGCATGTTCGTCGCATTTACAAAGAACTTCTGCTGCTGATTTTGGGAATGGCTTTTCGCTTTCCTTATTTGTCCATCCTTCCAACCATACTTTATACTCTCATTCCAAATTGATACCGTCTTTTTCTAAGAAAAGTTCGTATCGTTTNAAGCGTTAAAAGCTGGAAGTGTGACCAGAATGCAGAGAAGTTTGTTAATCAATGGAAAAGCATGTTCGTCGCATTTACAAAGAACTTCTGCTGCTGATTTTGGGAATGGCTTTTCGCTTTCCTTATTTGTCCATCCTTCCAACCATACTTTATACTCTCATTCCAAATTGATACCGTCTTTTTCTAAGAAAAGTTCGTATCGTTTTCCAAGCGATTTTACGCGTTCGATAGCTTTTTTTCATCAGGCGTATTATATTCTCCAATTTTAGATGGAAGTAATAAGTTCAAATCAGAAATATTTGATGACTCTTTCGGCAATCTTTCTCGGAGATCGAGCAAAATATTATCTAATAGCGGTAGGTTAGGTTAGGTTAGGTTATCCTGGCTGCCCTCATCCGTACCGGAAAGGGCACACTTAGGCCTCCATGGGCCCATTGGGATACGATACTTGAGACTCGTACGTCCCTCTTCCTACCTCAGAAATTGAACCAATTCGTAGCTCTGATGAAGCGCACAAAATCGTAGATACTGAATAGCGAAGGAGCGAGCGTCGACGGGCTCTTTCCAAATCGGGACAGTGGCACAGGTAATGCTCCACGCTCTCGATCTCCTCCTCATTGCGGCAGCTACCACAGTAGTCGTTTGGCTGCAAACCCATCCTGGCAGCGTGGGTTCCCATAAGTCAGTGCCCGGTGAGAATTCCGATAATATGGCGGAGCATTGGTCGCTCCAAATGAAAGAGAGGGCGAGATCTAGGCTTATCTAATCTAGGCCAGATGTGTCTCGCTATCCTGCACGTGGGCTCCGCGGACCATCTTACATTTGCCCGTTCGATAAAGTTATTCTGCAGCCAAAGTTTACAGGATGGCGGAATACTCGCATTACGAGCGGTACTGATCGCAGGCAGTAGGGTTCCTTTCCGAGCCAGCTCGTCCGCAACACAGTTGCCCGGTATTTCCCTATGACCTGGTACCCATACAACTCGAGTAAAGTGACTCCTTGCCAGCTCATTTAGAGTACGTCTACATTCCATGACAATCTTCGATGAAGATTTGTCACAATTAAGTGCTTGGATAGCTGCCTGGCTATCAGAAAAAATAGTTACTGCATGCAGATTAGTAGGAGAATCGATCAGCCATCTAGCAGCTTCGTAGATTGCTGTTACTTCAGCCTGAAACACGCTACAGTAATCTGGCAGACGGAAACTGAGGCTAAGTGAGAGTTCCTGCGAATATATCCCACTTCCTACCTTCAGATCTAGCTTGGAGCCATCGGTGTAGATGGCTGCTGAGTCAGAGTAAGAGATCAGGATTGAATCCTCCTCCAACTCACCCCTTGAGGGGATCCTTGTTTGGAAGTGATTCTTTAGTCCAGTAGGCGGGACTGTGTAGTCAAGGCGCCTGAAGTTTCCTGGAAGATTTTCCAAAATTCTAGAGTATCCAAATCTTGTATCACTCCACTTGATCAGCGGGTTTAATCTAACAGCATTACAGCTTGCCTGCAGTTTGCCATATAGGTCCACAGGTAGAAAATGGAGCAAAGTCTCTAGGGCTTTAGTCGGCGTTGAGGGCAACGCCCCCGTGATCATCATGCACGCCACCCTTTGAACCTTTGTTAATCTGCTTTTGATTGTAAGTTTGTCCACGGATGGCCACCAGACCGTGATACCATAGAATAGAATGGGAGGCACCACTGCTGTGTACATCCAGCTCACGATGTGCGGCTTTAAGCCCCACTTTTTTCGTATTGCTGATTTACAGGCATACAGGGCAGTTAAAGCCTTCTTGCCACGCTCTTCAACATTGCGCCGCCAAGTTAGCTTTCTGTCCAATACAACGCCCAGGTACCTAACTTCCTCCGAGAGGGCTAGGGTAACACCGTTCAAGAAAGGAAGTTGCACCTGGACAGTTTTAATTTTCTTTGTGAAAAGAACCATGACTGTTTTCCCTGGATTGACACTAAGGCCAGATTTCTTGGACCAGGTTTCCACAACGCCTAAGGCGCCTTGGACCAGATCACATAGAATTTGGGGGTGCTTACCTACCGCCGTCAGGGCCAGATCATCAGCGTAGGCAACTACCTGACAGCCTGTGCTCTGTAGCTGCGACAGCAGAGTATTCACCGTTAGATTCCACAGGAGTGGGGAGAGGACACCGCCTTGCGGGGTGCCGCGGTTTGCATACCTTGTTGCCGATACCTCTCCCATCTCCGAGTATATAGTTCTGCAGCCTAGAAGGCGATGAACAAATTCTACCAGAGGGTACTCCAGACCGAGGTTAGTTAGGGCGCGGAGAACAGCTTCTGGGAGAACATTATTGAAGGCACCCTCGATGTCAAGGAATACGCCTAATGCATATTCCTTAAGCACTATTGCCTTTTCAATGGTGCTGACAATACTATACAAAGCTGTGTCTACAGACCAGCCTTTCCAATAGGCATGCTGACAGCTAGACAATTTACTAAAATCAATTTCTTGTCGGATCTTCACGTCCAGTAGTCTTTCCAGAACCATCAGGAAGAAAGATGTAAGGCTAATCGGTCTAAAGTCGCTTGGCTTCACGTGGGATTGTCTGCCGCCCTAGGGAATGATCACAACCTTCGCCAGTGTCCATCCCTTGGGTATGAAGCTAAGTATGAGACAAGCCTTATAGATTGAGACATAGAATGTCAGACGTTGCCCGAAGTTCGGCTGGGAAGATGCCGTCCACGCCTGGAGATTTGTAGGGCTGGAAGGACCATATGGCCCAATCTACCCTTTCTACATCAATAAAATCTAGGTATTCTAAGGAGCGTCCAGAAATTGTGCGAGCAACGCCAGGCTCCTCAGTACACCCTGGAAAGTGGGCGCTCATTAGAACCTCAAGCATAGAAAACCGTAGTAGAAAGCGTAGTAAATTTCTTAAGAACTGCGTACTGCCTTAAGGAAATTTGACTCAAGAAAATTTCTTAGCCATTTCTTGTACGTCATTTTATATGGAGTTTTTGCTTTTCTTGAGAGCTGCATACAGGCCTTAAGCAAGGTGCGCCGAAATTGCGCATATGCAAACTGTGCATTTAGACGTTATTTCGGTTTTAACCGAAACTGTGCACGTATGAGTGAGAAACAGGTAAATAAAATTCAGTTGTGGTTCGTTAAACCTTTAATTTTATTCTGCCTGTATTTTAGTAAGTTTACATCTATTTATTTACTTATGCGAGTACTGACGCGCAGGTCAGTTGTTTTTCCTACTTTATGCCCTGTATGCAGCTCTCAAGAAAACGATCAAGAAAAAATTGCCATTATTTCGTGTGTGTGTCCAAGGAATTTTGACATTTTTGATACCTCACAGCCTGTTGCCTCACTCTTTCCTCAAGAAATAATGGAATGGGCATATATTTCTGTTGCAAACCTGGGTTGCCTTGTGCTCTTTTTTCACAAAAAACTTTAGAAAACCGTAGTAGAAAGTGTAGTAAATTTCTTAAGAACTGCGTACTGCCTTAAGGAAATTTGACTCAAGA